TACCTGTTGTAAGTCGAAAGTTCCGAATTCGTATTCAGGGAGTTGTTGGAGCTTCCAAAAACTTGATGACATAAACCACTGACTCTCCAGGCTTCTACGCCCTTAACTCATGAGACATAAAGGCAAGCATGAACTTAGTATGCTTCGCTGTTGGGCATTGTAAACCCTTCTGCTCTTCACCCTACACAAGGATGTAGGGGGGGTGCCCAATAAAAAAATAAATAAAAAAAATAAAAAAAATACAATAAAGTAATAATACGACTGAGGAAACTCTGAGGATCAAAGTTAAGTGATAAATCACTGGTCAAACATAAGACAGTTAACACAAAACACATGCGTCCTACTGCACAACACTTCTGAATAAGGATGGATGGTCAGTGTTATTTTGTGACATCTCTTTATTTTAAATGATAAAACTAACTTTTTATGAGCGTAGTAAATTGAGGAGTTAACATACAAACACAGCTCCAAAAGCAAAACCAAAATATATTCTATGGTAGATTATATATTTTACTATCCTGATGAGTAGTGTTAGAACAACAGCATCTGGTAAACAAGAACATAACTTATGAACTTTTAGGAGGATGATAGAGGCCAGAAATCTCTTCAGGTGTTGGGTTTTGTCCATTCTCTTCATGGTGTTCAATGGTCATTTTCTAGGGTCAAGGTCCCGTTGTTTTCTCTCTTCCATCGAACGCCAGGAAAAGATGGGTGGAGCCTTCAGTATATAAACCAAGGGCTTGTATTGGTGGACATCAGTCTCACACTGCCTTCACACCTTAACATGGCTCTTAAGGTACTCAACTGAGTTTTATATACATTGCTTGTCTGTCATTAAAAGTTCGCTTAAATAATACTTAAAATATATTTTCTACTTTAAATTACCTCATTAATCTGTGGTTTTCAGGTTTACTTACTCGCTGCCCTTGTAGCTGTCACCGTTGCTGACACTATCCCTTACACTCCTCCACGCCCCTCCTACACTGCTCCTGCCCCCTCGGTAAGTTGAGATACGTGTTACTATCCATATATAGGCGGAGTTATCATTGCATGATTTTTTTTTTTACCCCAAAATCCTCACTGGCATTCTTTTTATTAGCTGAATAACAGAATTTCTAATTCCTTATACAGTACTTCTCCTTTAAATTATATCTTCAAAACATGAAATAATCTTCAAGAAATGTTATGAATGGTGTTATGGCTTTTCTCTCTCAGGGTCCTGCCCAGTATAACTTTGACTGGTCAGTCAACGACGGGAACTCTGGCAACAACTACGGTCACAATGAAGGTCGCAATGGTTACAATACGGAAGGAGCTTATTACGTTCAGCTTCCCGACGGTCGTCTGCAAAGGGTTACCTACACCGTGAACGGCGACTCCGGTTTCGTGGCTCAAGTCGAATATGAGGGTGAAGCCCAGTACTCAGCCTACCAGCCCTCTCCCAGCTACAGGCCAACCCCAAGCTACGCTTAACAAAATATTAGACAGACGTAGGAACTTGGCTCTCGTCGTCATCTTGTACGAAGTTCCATAAATTATTATATTAATAAAAAATACTTAAATATTCTGTGTATTACCATCCTTATTTATTAATAAATAAGTAAATTAAGTGAAATATGTAAATAAACGAAAGAAAACAATGGTCGCTGGGAGCAACACATACAGAAGTACGTGCCTTTTGTCTATGTTGGTTTATCTAAATCGTCATACTAAAATGTACTTCTTAATGACCATCGTCGGGGACCGGTGGTAGATGCGGTACCGTTTTTGCCTAGCAAGCGAGGTGTCACGGGTTCGATTCCCGGGCCGGTGGAAGTTGTTTGGACTTACTTCCTAGCCCCCATTAGTCCCCGTTCACCTAGCAGTAAAGTAGGTACCTGGTGTAAATCGAAAGTTGCGAATTCGTATTCAGGGAAAGTTGTTGGAGCTTCCATTATCTTCATGACATAAACCACTGACTCTTCAGGTTTCTACGCCCTTGACTCTTCAGGCTTCTACGCCCTTAACTCGTGAGACATAAAGGCAAGCATGAACTTAGCATGCTTCCCTGTTGGGCGCTGTAAACGCTTCTGCGCTTCACCTTACACGAGGATGTAGGGGGGTGCCCAATAAAAAATAAAAATATAAAAATAAAAAATTTGACCATCGTATTTGTCTGTTTTACGGGAAAACTAATATTTCAGTGATTTTCTTACGTTTTTGCACACTTTGTACTGTGGACTCGGTAGATATATCGTTAATTGTCAACGACTGAATCATATAAACTCAACGCACTCTCTTGCTGACTCACTCCTTTACACACCATTTTCAGTATCGTTACATCCATCTTGCAGAGGGGAACTGCCACCAAGTGTGTAGTAGAAGAGTTAAAACTTTCACAGATTGCCTTATTTATTGTAATATTAAACTCTCTTTTCATTTATTATCCCTCTTTTTTATCCATAAATTTTGAATGTTTAGTCACTCATTATTTTCCAACTGAACAGTGAAATAATTAATTCTCTATCCTTTACTACATACTGTATATCAATACTGTATGCTACCTGTTCATAATTTAGCTTTATTTCCTTAGTGTATCAATTTGGTTACCTTTAAACACATTTACCTAAGATCCTTGAATACTTTTGAAATATAAAGTTAAATCACTTTAACCCAAAGTTATTACAAATTTAACCTTAGTCCTTTGAGTGGATACTACACTCATCTACAGTCCTAAGAGCAGTTTCTTAACTACCAAGGCACCCAGGAATCCCAGCAGTGAACGGAAAATTAAATATACTATATAGTTGGGAAAGTGAAGGTGTTTGAGTGGAGTGCCAGGCTCAGTAAGCTGTATCCATCCTGCCCCTAAAGGGCCGCCAGGGCTCACTTGTTTATCTTAAGTATTTTTTTTAATTGCTCTTAAATAAACATCTTTTCCCAATGGGTTTCAGTTACCATGCGAATAGCCCAGCGCTAGAATAGGATAAGCGCCACAATCACCCAAACAGGTTTGTGTAGCTCATTCTTCCCCCAATAAAGTACAAGTGGTGGATATCTCTTTAGGACATTGCAAAAATGGTTAACGATACATTGAACAAATTATGTCGACGCAACATTACTTACTACAGTCTTGGTGCTCGCGGGGAAAAATGTGTTGTGCCAGTTGGAAGTAAGTCTTATGGGTGTGTTTCTCACACACGAATAGTGACATTGTTATAATGTTTGTAAGCTACAATCCTTCAGTGAATACTATAATAAGCAATCCTCTCTAGTTATCAAACCTCTGGAGACATCACCATCACCCTATAACAATAACTTTGTAAACATTACTCATATGTTTCTCACACACGCCTTAAAACAACAACAGATCAGTAATGTTATCAAAGGTCTTATTATGGGATAACCCTTAACTCAGTCGCGGAATGATCACCAGAGGTTTGGTGAGTATGGACTGTGCTTAGTACAGTAGTACTCACTGAAGTATGGTAGCTTATAAACATTATAATAAGGTCACTTAGAAAAGCTTGTTATTTAATATTTATCCCATCAAAGATTGTTATTGTTAGAATAATATTCAGGGTGCCTTTGGTACAGTTCTACTATTTTAGTGTAACAAAAGTGTACTACAGTAATGTTATTTTTTGTGGAGTGAATGGTGCATTTATTATATTCTACCAAAAAGTGTACACAATTTCCAATAAATCATTGCAAACAATATGTTCATATATTAATTGATCGTGACGGTTTATCAATTTTACTGTAGCGCAACTTTGGATGCGACTTTATCACATTTTTAATAAAAGCGTTTATCCCATTCTGGCGCCTGGCTACACATAGGTAAATCCAAAACAAAATGTCTACACTGGACAATAATTACTAGAAACCAGATCTCCTACAACCGACTCAACTCATTAACCTTATTATTATATATTTTAAGTCGTTTAAGATTTAACCAAAGTTATTGTAGCATGTTAGTCTACGATATTCTTAATAGTTTTGTCACGATGATTTCTTACTAACAGTGTAACACAGTAATAGGGAGAACATAATATCTCTACCTTTACCAACTATGCATCTGTTGAGGTGACTGTTAGTGTGAGTATAACAGTTACTTGTGAAGCTGTCATATATGTTACAACCTTCCTGGGTTATCACCACTTGTAACAATCACTTGCAAAGCATGTTACCTTATGTTCTAGATGTATTAAAATATAGATCAACGTTTATTGGATCTTCTGTATTGAAATCCAATATGTCCCTTTGGTTTGTTTAATATGAAAAGAGTTCTATGTACAATTTCAAAAAGGATTATCACCCAAGCTTAATCACTGTAGCTATGAGTGTTAAATGAGGACGGGGTAACTTAGATTAGCTCTTCTAAAATATGTCTGATTGATGTGAGACTGGGAGCGAACTTGAGTAGGGACCCTCGAGGGAGAACGGAAATATATCCGACGTCCTCCCTCGAGGACAGACGGGTCACCTCACCGATGACTCTAAATAATGTCTTCCTCTAGTGAGTGATATCACACTACTGCCTGCAATAGGTGGCCAGAGAGCCGGTAACTTAATCCTTAACTCATCGCTGGTTCTCGTCCAATAAACCGGGTTATACCAAATGTGAATGAGTAGCTGAATATTTAGTTGAGGAACTGAAGGCGATTGATTGTAGTGCCGACCACAGTACACTCTCCAATATACCCTTAACAGAATGTCTGTCCTATACAACACACTTGCTAATCTATATTTGTAGAACGCACAACTCAGAACAAAAAAACCTCTGAGGAAAGTGTTGGAATAGTGACATTTAGTAAACTAAATCATAACCTACGACCTCCTGGGATGGAAATGAAGGTCACACGCTCTTGCGTGTTGATATTTGTCAGCTCTTCACGGGAATGCAGTAATTGGTGTTGACGTTCCGTTGTCACTTCTCAGTTTCAAGGATTCTGCTGCTTTTCCTTTTACATCTAACGTCACGAAAAGATGGGTGGAGTCTCCTCTCTGCAATATATAAACCTGGCGCGTGTATCGGTGGACATCAGTCTCGCTCTCTCTTCACAACTCAACATGACTCCTAAGGTAAACAATTGAGTGTTAACTACATTGCTTGTTTGCCATGAGTAGTGTGCTTAGATAAATTTTGAAATAATAGTCTACTTAGAATTGACTCACGATTTGATGGTTTTCAGGTTTACGTCCTCGTTGCCCTTGCAGCCGTCGTCATCGCTGACAATATCCCTTACACCCCTCCGCGTCCCTCTTACAATGCTCCTGCACCCTCGGTAAGCTCTTAGTCCGTAAAACTATCTATCTATACACAATACCAGTCATCATAATCCGACTCTTAATTGTATTACTGTAAGTATTATTTTTGTCTCGTTTACCTGAAAGAATAAACTGAACTTGCACTTTAAGTGATTAAACCTTTATCTCGAGTTTTGCAAAGAATATGATATAAATGGTGTATGGCTTTTTCCCCCAGGGTCCTGCCCAATACAACTTTGACTGGTCAGTGAACGACGTGAACTCCGGCAACGACTACGGCCACAACGAAGCTCGTAATGGATACGATACTGAGGGATCTTATTACGTTCAGCTTCCCGACGGTAGGCTACAGAGGGTTACCTACACCGTGAACGGCGATTCCGGTTACGTGGCTCAAGTCGAACATCAGGGAGAAGCCCAGTACTCAGCCTACCAGCCCTCTCCCAGCTACAGGCCAACCCCTGGCTACGCTTAACCAAATTAAGGATTAGGAATTAGCTCCCCTAATCTTCTTGTATGAATTGTCATAAATTATTACTTTAATAAATCATACTTTAAATATTATCTGTCACCATCCTTAACTTCAATATTAGTGAATCAATTATGTAAATAAACGAAAAAACTTGGTAACCCACTTCAGTTAAGTTAAAAATTATACATACATAGCTGCACCACCAAACACAGAAATAGCCATACATGCCTCCTGCCAGACGGTAAAATTAGATAATAACTTTCTCACATTGAGTTTGATCATTGAATTCACCGATAATTAATGTTAATTCCACCCCATCGTTGTTCATCTAAGAACGTCTCCTTTCTAAAATATCTTTGTGTTCCTTGTCGTTGGACATTTCCCCATGTTAAAATAGGTTTGATTAAATATGGTGCTCAAACTTGGTTCACGTATTCCAGATGGGATCCTATGAGCGCCACATATAAGGACATGTGTATTTCTTACTCATTTTTGTTGAGACCTTAGAGATATGAAATATAATTAAATATCATTAAAAACTCTAAACTTAGATCATTAAATTCTAAAACATCTGGCTCGGCAATGTTCTCACTAGATGCCCTTTAATTAGTTATTCAATAATTCATCGCCATATAATTATTAATTATTTTTACATAAGAATATTGGAGGAAAAAACTCTACCAAAGCGCCGACCCCAAATTATGCCTAAGCTAAACACAATACTGAGACAGGAACTTGCTTTATCAAAGTGGACGTTTGAATATGCTTAACTTATTACATAAATAAAATTATCTAAGAAAATCTCTCTCAGAATCCTTAATTCATTCAGGAGAAAATCGAAAAGATATGAATGTATACAAATAACTCTCAAACATACTAAAAAGAAAAAGTTCATGTTTCATCTTTTCCATTTCAAAATTTGTTTGTCGGCTTGTTTATTAATAAAATAATTTGATACTAAGAAAAAAAATACAATAGATTGCATTTACCCAGTAATTGGTAAGGTGACTGTCCAAATGAATTAGCTTAAGGTAAACAAAATATTTACACTGTTATTTCTCATCTGGTGTGATGAGAGCTAATGTGACACAACACTACTAAAGTTTCACTCACCTACAGACTCCCTCTCTTTCCCTGGGGGAAGGAGTGAACTAAACATTAGTACAAGGGTTGAAGGCCTTCATCCCGATTGAAATTTTAATAGTCTATCTGTTCGCAGGTTTGTTCATTTGAGTTATTACTATTAAGACCACATATACAACAGGATATATACCTGTGAATCGACAAAAAAATAATGATAATAAAAGTCCCAGATGTGTTTAATTTGAGATATTTCAATATTAAACTCTGAAAACTTTTGAAAGCATAATATTAGTTCTCTTCATCACAATATTCCTTCTAATAACTTTTATCATAGTTTTTTATAGGGATTACCTTAAGCTCATATTGTGGATGTAAGTTACCAGACGCAGATCGACAACAAACTACCTGCAGTAAAAAAAAAATAAGCAGATATAACAAAGTCTTATCACCTCTGCCAAGAATGAGAAAGTATATCGTGATCTTTTTAGTTTACCTCATCAGATTTACCTCCAGTGTCAGTTTCATATTTATTGGGAAATTGTATCTTGGGCACATAGCTTGTAATTCCCATCATTGGTGTAATATTCATCCATTATGGTATCGATACAAGGATAAATATCCGCCGTCTGTGTTGAAGAATCATGTATTTACAGTTTTTCTTGGCCAGTTCTACAATTAATCTAAGAACTCTGTAACAAGAAATATTACTGAGCAAAAACTGAATAAGATCGTTCCAACTTTCCCTGTTATACACGTCATGACAAAATGGGTGGAGCCTCCAATATATAAACCTAGCGTGTATCGTTAGACAACAGTCTTTTTCCTTTTACACCTCAACATGGTTCTTAAAGTAAGCATATCAATATGATATGCAATGATTGTCCAACCTGATCGGTGTTCTTCGCTAAAAAATCGATTCTGTTTTGCTTTCGTGATTTTTCAGGTTTGTGTCACCGCTGTCCTTGTGGCCATCGCCGTCGCTGACACATCCTACACTCTTCCAAGTCCCTCCTACAACGCCCCTGCCCCTGCTGTAAGATTTTATGTTTTTATTTGAATGCAATAACAGTTGTAATTGCAGTTCTCTTTAACTGAGCCAGAATTTCCAAATGTAGTCCGCCCAACTTTTTTTACTCCTTCAATAATTCGTACAAGATTTTTTCCAACATATTCTAATATATATAATATAATCTTAAATGAATTTGACTCTCAGGGTCCTGCCCAATACAACTTTGATTGGAAGGTGAGGGACGACAACTCTGACAACGACTTCGGCCACGATGAAGCTCGTAATGGCTATGACACTCAGGGATCATATTACATTTAACTTCCCGACGGTCGTCTACAGAGGGTTACATACACCGTGAACGGCGATTCGGGCTATGTGGCAGAAGTGGAATATCAGGGTGAAGCTCAATACTCAGCCTACCAGCCCGCCAGCAGCTACAAACCTGCCCCCAGCTACCAGCCCGCGCCTACGTACAGGTCTGCCCCTACCTACACGTCCACCCCAAGCTACGCTTAACATAATCACAGGCTGGTATAGGATCTTGACTTCCATAATGTTTACGTTCGATATTTTTAACTTATAAAAGATAAAATTTTCGAAAAAAAATTCTCTCTTAAAATCTTTATTCAGAATAAAGAAATATGTCGAAAAGAAACAAATAAATATAAAGATAATATAAACTATATAATTTATACTCCCATTAACAACGATTTAAATAAATATTAAACAGATTTAAAAGATAAAAATGGTACTGAGCGATAAATCATCAACACTACTACATGTACAGTCGGGGACAAAAGTTCGCTCCCTTTGGTGAAACTGAACACGGGAATGAGTCTCCAAACTGACTTACCCTAACTGTTGCATCGCGTTTGGGGTTGATGCGGATTCATTTTAGGAGGGAAAAATTTTTTTACCCCGACTGCACGTATGTACGTTTTTTTTAATTAATTAACTAAATCACTCAACTCCTATAATGGGTGTCTGAACCTCAATTAAACAAATGAAAGACTGTTATATTTTTATATAAACATTTTAATATAAAGTCTTTAAATTTTAAAACATTTAGATACTGTAATATTCGACAGAATTGTTTTCAACTTAAAGTGTTTTCAGCAAATTTCTCAATATACGACCCTTGATCATTTCTTCACAGTATATATAGTATACAAAAATTTTAAATACTTATATAAAGTTTTTTTACTTCACCATTTAATACATAACAATTATATACTTCCCCTCATTAACCTGGTTATTAATACCAATGTTCCTAAAATATTTCAACATTTGATAAATAATTTACTTCGTTTAATATTCAACTTTATAGATTTGATTATAATAGTTTTCGATTTTTTAAGATTTTCCCTCAGATTTTCCATGGTTTCATAAATACATACCTGTATTATTTACAATAAACTACCTGTGCTAAGCAAATTAAAAGCAGAAAACATAGAACCTGATCAACTCTTCTTGATTGAGACACTCAATCGTGGAAATCCTTCCTTACCAATTTATACTACAGTATGGGAAATGGCAAAAGAAACATACACGACCACTAGTAAGCCAAAATACAAGGATAAAAATATAATTCCTGGAACACGAAAATATAAATATTTTGTTTTATGATTACGGAAATGAATCTATTACAGTAAGTGTCATTTCTCACTTTCAGAAATATTTAAGTGAAAATTCTAAAGAGGGATAATTATTTTCAGTTGAGAGGTTATTTGAAATTTGTAAAACTATGAAAAATTTTACTAAAGGAGGATCAATCATAAAACCCAGACGACACACAAAAATATCCTCACGAGTTAAGAGATAAAAAATGGATCACTTCTTAAAGAACATAATGTGTTATCCTCTGAGAAGACTATGAAAATCAGTAAACTCGTCTCGAGTTAGCTTTTATCTTTTATCTGGCCTTTCCGGGAGGTGTTAAGTGGCGGTGAAGTCCAATAGTCAATTAACAAAGTCAAGGATTTGCTGCAATCTCTCTTATATCTTGCGTCATGACAAGATGGGTGGAGTCCCGGCTATATAAACCAAGCGATTGTGACGCTAGATATCAGTCTCGCCGTATCACATCTCACCATGGCTCTTAAGGTAAATAAATCCTTGAGTGAATGCGGCTCTCACTTCCAATCCAAAGGGTTACGTGTTTGATAACAGAGTATTTCCAGTTCACCAAGCAGTAAAGAGGTGCATTGGACTTATTGCCTCGGTATTTATTCAAGGCTTAAGATAGAGTGTGTTGTTATGGAGATACAGTACTACCAATGTAGTAGCTATTTCACACTAATTTTCCGACCAAAGTACTTAGGTTTATACAAAGAAGTGTTAGTTACAAGACTAGCGAGGTCATCCTAAAACTATATCTTGCGCCTGTGAGACCACACTTGGATTATGCAGTTCAGTTCTGGTCACCGTACAACAGAATGGATATAGAATCCCTAGAAAGAATTCAGAGGAGAATGACAAGACTAACCTGGGCATTAGGAACCTTGAGCACAGAGACAGGTTAAATCATCTTAATTTAAACTCCCTCAAGAGACTTAGAGTGAGGGGCGATATGATCGAGGTATATAAATGGAAGTCGGGGCTAAACAAAGTGCTATAACAAAGATACTCAAACTAACCAACCAGGAACAAACTTAATGTTAGGTTAGGTTAGGTTAGATAAGGGTATGATAAGTTATATTATAAGTTATAAGATTAACTTAACATACACCGGTAAGGCGGGGGAGGGAGGGGGGGTAGTAACTCAAAACTAGTGATTTCTGATAGAAATGAAGGTCTAAATCGTTCATAACACATGGAAAACCACCAGAAAAACACAGTCTGCATGTCTAAGTACAGGGATGAACAAAACTGAAAATTTACCCAATATAGCCTATCTCGAATCTAAGCATCCAAATACTTATGGTAGTTAACGTAAAATTTTACCCATTAATTAATATAAATTATTATATATCCCAGTGGTTCATTCGTGAATCATCAAAACAATAACAGCACTATGTTGTCATGTTTACCTAGCACCAGGCATTCTCAAAACAAAGTCCAGACAATGTCATTACTTCTAAATTGACTCGTATCTTCATCCCTGCGTCGTTTGCAGGACTATGGAGCTCATTTTTATTTTTTCATGAATCGTTTGTTTTCAGGTTTACGTCATCGCTGCCCTTGTGGCTGTTGCCGTTGCTGACACTATCCCCTACACCCCTCCACGTCCTTCCTACATCGCTCCCGCCCCTGCTGTAAGTTCTTGTGGACATTATCTTACATAACTGAGAAAGAGTGTTACACATCTAATGAAGATGTCTCTCCTTTCACATATGAGAACTTAAAACTATTTTGTTTTCAATGGTTTATAATTCTCTTCTCAGGGTCCTGCCCAATACGAATTTGACTGGACAGTGAACGACGCTAACTACGGCCACAATGAAGCTCGTAGTGGTTACGACACTCAAGGATCCTATTACGTTCAGCTCCCCGACGGTCGTCTGCAGAGAGTTACTTATACTGTGAACGGCGACTCCGGCTTCTTGGCTCAAGTTGAGTACGAGGGTGAGGCGCAGTACCCAGCCTACCAGCCTGCTCCCAGCTACCGGCCAACCCCTGGGTACGCGTAACCAAATCATGGATTCATTAGTGACTCGGCTTTCTCATTCCACAGCTGTGAATATGCTTGAATTATTGCATTAATAAAATATCTTTAAAAACTCCTCAATTTTGTTTATTAATGAATTAAATGTAACAGACAAATACAAAATAAAACATCGGTGAAGTAAGCTTTTATAAATGCTATATCTCCAGGTATACTGAAAATAACTCCAGCTTGGCTTTAACGATAAACTCATACAAATACTTTTTGTATGTTATTTGCTTATTTGTGAAATTATGTCATAGAACACACATATATTGATTCAGACTTTGTTGAGGGAAACATCTGATATAAATATCAGTACCATTAAACTCAAATGAAATTTTCTCTATTTTCAAAGCAACATCTTCAAGAGAACAGAAAATATCGGTTCTTTTTTTCAGATGTATATATGCATCTTTTAAATTCTTAAATGTCAAAATAATTGTCTGAATAATATAAACACAAGCCTGGATGATGACAACCAAAGGGACGCTAACATCACACATTATTTACGGCTGTCTTCCCCTGTGAGTGTGAGTAGGTCGGTATATAACAATAATGTAGGTCTCGGTGCCGATTGCTTAGGGTCTTCAATTCGTTCTCTTTCTCTGCCATCTTTTGCCTCGTATCTTTGCTCCACTCCCTTCAAGACGGCAAATGTATTTATATAGTTTCTAGTCTGTTCAGAGGAAGTGGTCGCCTGGATTAAGTTTTGGTTCAGTTACTGGGAGTTACCTCAGGTCACTACCCGAGTCTGGGAAAGGCTCACCAGAATATATAAAGGGATTTCCTTGGTCATGGTCAATTTTCTTTGGCAATATGACCCAGGTCAACCGAGATATCCAGCTCTATGTACTGTATGATATATGTTACCAAAAACGGATTATATTACAATATTGTAAGATTTTTATTTAGTGAGCTTTATTATCCAAGCTCATAATTAAAACTGATGATGGCTGTGGATATCTTCTACAATTGCACCCCAAAAGACAGGCCTGACATGATCCATGACACAACGTTGCCGCATCGGTGGTAATGACCTTGACACTTCTCTGCTTACGGTGCCAGTGACAAGTTATCTCTAATGTTTCTAATACGCTGTGAAGTGAGGTTGATGTGTCGGCTTAGTTTCTGTGATGACATGACTACAAGATACAACACAGCCACGCCCACGAAGGGGTCGCAGTGAACACCTGGTGGTAGCATTTCATTATTCATGTTTAATTTATGAAATTCGAAAACATTCAACTCATTCGATACTCCTCACACATATTGGATTTCCTGAAGATAAAAAACCCAAGTTTATTTAATTTAGGGATAAAATACCTTAAATCTGACATAACCTAACCTCACCTATCCTAATATAACTCAAACCTACCAAACCCCCGTGGTAGTATTATAATTTATAATCATCAAGTGAAATAAACCAGACTATCTAATCTTCCGTTATTCTAATGTATTACTCCTATATGAACTGAGATCTCAATATTTTAGTAAAAAAAAATACTTTAAAAAATCTGTTTATGCAGACCAATATAAATTAATGCTAGAAATGTTGATAGTCTACGTCTCAGTCTCGTCCTCTAAGGGGATCGGTCTCGTAAGGTAGGTCTTAGCCTTTATTTTGATTAGGATAGTAGTTCTTGGTCTCAGTCTCGGTCTCAGTCTAGGTCTTGGACTGAGTGGTCTCGATTATATATTTTTATTTTCAATAATTTACCTTCTCATACATAAACGTTAAAACTGTACATTTAGTGGAGATCAAATTTGCTTTAACTTTGGATAATTGTTACATTAAACCTAATTTATTAAAAAAAAGGCAAATATGATTCTTTCAGTATACTGTATTCACATCTCGTCCAGAATCTTAAGGGCACCGGAGTGACCTAGCCGTGATTGGGTTATTTATTTGACATTTGTAAAATTGATGGCAGTCAGGACCAGTACCAGCCACACTGTCTCCTTGTGTACCAGAAGCTTAAAAGCGAAACCTTCATATAATTAAGGTTTTTACTTTAAAATTATTACGACATTACCCTAAAGTATATATTTTTCTGTTAAAATGACAGGTGTACGTCTGCCCCGGATTGTTAACATTGGACATATATTAGTAAAAACCAGATATCTTGAAATATAACCAGAACGACTCTTCGTCCTTCATTAAAACATGGATTTTGAAAAACCAAGTGTATATTTTGGTCCTATATGTTCAATATAGCAGTTTCCCTTCAAAACAATATCAACCTAAGGAACGAAATTTTTAATTACTTGTCTATATACAGTGGGACACTTTCATTGACAATACAAAATTGACATACTACAGACGTGTTGAAAAAAAACTCGATAAATTACCTCAGATAGTATCTCGTAAAATGATGGTTGCTTTCCTTCGGTTAATTCGTAATTAATAGAAATATAGTGTGCCATATTTTAGAAATGCATAGGACACTCAGGGACCCTATTACCTTCAGCTCCCCAAACGATCGTTTCCTGGGTTCTGCCTAGTGAGACTTTGACTGGAATGTGAAGGACAACTCCGGTAACGACTTTGGTTAAGATGAAGCTCGTAATGTGGCTACGACACTCAGGAATCCTATTATGTTCAACTTCCCGACGGTCTTCTGCAGAGAGTTACCTACAGTGTTAACGGCGACACCGGCTACGTGGCTCAAGTAGAATATGAGGATGAAGCCCAGTACTCAACTACCATCCCTCTCCCAACTACCAGCCCTTACCTACCTGCAGGCCCACCCCTACCTACACACCCCTCACAAGATACAATTAGCCCAAACGTAGGCTCAAAAGGGAACTAATCTTTCACACTGTGGACCTTTGAATCTGCTTAGCTTATTATATAAATAAAATTATATAGGACCTTTTATATACAAGGGGTTATAAAAATAATAAAAATCACATTCCTCTAAAACATATAAGAATATTAACTTAAATATTCAAGTGCTAACTTTGCAATTAAGAAATTTGCTAATGATTCAAAATATTATATTTTTTTCTTTTTAGAAAATCTGGTATTGCGAAAATTTTTGACAAATTGATTCCATATATCTAGTTAGTAATTCAGAAGACAGTGAAGTATGTGCCCTGTACGTTTCATAGACTGGATAACTAAAACTATAATTGTTAAAGTGACTGTATGAAATACACACACTACTAATGCTCTCCCGCGTGATAACAACTAAGGTGACGCAAAACTCTAAGTGACTCACTTATCTATACAGGTTCCCTCTCTCTCCCCGCGGGAGGGAGGTTGAGTACCTAACATGTAGGCCTTCCTCTCGATTGTTATTAGAATATTGTTAGTGTTCACAGGTATGTTCATTTCCATCATTACTATAAAGACCCCAACTATAACAGATCCCTGGAACTTAAAATAACCAATGTAATAAAAGTCCCAAAGGTGTTCAATCTGAGATGATATAGGTATTTCAATATTAGACTCTTAATTATCTTACCCATAAAATTCCTTCTTAAATATTTTATTATTAATTTTTTTTTATCAAAATTTATTATAAGGATTACATTAAGGACATTCTGTTCCTATGTTTGTAAGTTACCAGACTAAAAAGAAACAAGAAGTATCAGCTATAAGAAAGTTATAGTTGATATTTATCGTGAAATTTTTGTTTACCTCATCAGATCCACATCCATTATAAGCTTGACGTTAAAATGAAACTGGGATATATAGTTTGTAATTCACATTCTATATCGCCTGAATCGGTGTAGTATACACCCATGGACAAAAGTTTATCTTTATTGTACACACACGCACACACACACATATATATATATATATATATATATATATATATATATATATATATATATATATATATATATATATATATATATATATATATATATATATATATATATATGTGTGTGTGTGTGTGTAGTAAAACACAAGACATAAAATATGACTAAGGTTCACAAATAAAATGTTAGAAGATGCGTCACTTGGTGATCTACAAAGATGGTGTATTGAGTAGTGCTCACGTCCAGTGGTCATTTATCAAGGTCAAGGACACTGCAGCTTTCCTTCTTATATACAATGTCATGACAAAATGATTGGAGCCTCCAGTATATAAACCTGGCGTGTATATCGTTAGACAACAGTCTCTCTCCTCTTGCACCTCAACATGGTTCTTAAAGTAAGCATTTCACTATGATATATAATAATTGTGCAGCCTGACCAGTGTTTGTCGATTGAAAATCAAAACCTGTTTTGTTTTCATTTGTCTTATGAGTAGATGTTCTTTTACAGATTTATGTCATCACTGCCCTTGTGGCCCTAGTCGTCGCTGACACATCCTACTCCCCTCCAAGTCCCTCCTACAATGCTCCTGCCCCTGCTGTAAGATTTTATGTTTGTTTTTTATCTGCGGGCAAGAGCAGTTGTAGTTGTAGTTTAATTTAAATTGGTGAGAATTTCCTAATGTTATACGCCTAACTTTTGGTCTTCATTGAATATTTCAGAGATAATTTTTTGCAATATATTCCATGATCAATAATTTAATCTTAAATGATTTTGATTCCAGGGTCCTGCCCAATATAACTTTAATTGGAAGGTGAGGGACGACAACTCCGGCAACGACTTCGGCCACGATGAAGCTCGTAATGGCTACGACACTCAGGGATCCTATTATGTTCAACTTCCCGACGGTCGTCTTCAGAGGGTTACATACACCGTGAACCGCGACTCCGGCTATGTGGCAGAAGTTGAATATCAGGGTGAACCCCAATACTCAGCCTACCAACCTGCCCCCAGCTACCAACCAGCACCTACATACAGGCCTGCACCTACCTACACGCCCACGCCAAGCTACGCTTAAGATAATAACAGACTGATATAGGAGCTTTGCTTTGATAATACTCACGTTGGATTATGTTTAATTTATTAAACAAAATAAAATTATCTAAGGCATAATCTCTTATCATCCTTATTCAGAATAAAGAAAAGACGAAAAGCAGTTAAAGAGAAGTTAAAGGATGCATTATTAATATCTAATTTAATGACGTTCTAAATGAGAACTATAATAGATTTAAAGATGAAAATACTACAAAACATTATGTTATCTACAGTAGATACACCATGTATGTCACTTATTAGTCTGTATAGTTGAGCTAACATAACTATTTTAATATTATGGTGCATCATGGAAAATATATAAATAAACATAAAAAATATATAAATAAACATAAAAAATATATTGTGTTTCTTATGGATGTAAGTTACCAGACGCACGTCAAAAATAAACTACCTGCATTTTTTTTTTTACGAGATTAGCCCACCAGGGTACAGGTCAGTTACCCACATCAGGGCCTGGGGGTGAAAATATTATAACAATAATAATAATAATAATAATAATAATAATAATAATAATAATAATAATAATAATAATAATAATAATAATAATAATAATAATAATAATAATAATAATAATAATAATAATAATAATAATAATTAATAATAATAATATATGTATGCTGTGTTGTGAAAGTACGAGAAGCAATTGAAACCCTGCAATTATGTGCAAATGAGCCAGAAAAACCGATCATCAACCTGGGACTTGGTCATAATTTTTGTGATGCCATAACAAAGCCATTAC